AACCTTGTCCTGCGGGACGGAACTTAAGAAAATGTTTCGCAGGAAAAAGTTCTTTTCCTGGGTACACGGTAAGAACCTTTAAAGGTTTCGTAGACTTTTTTATCCTCTTTTTGAGACTTTGGACATCTTTGAACGCTTTTAGACATCTCCGGAACCTTTTTTGGGAGTTCGGTGAAAAAACGATTTTTTTTGGAGTGCATATGTCATGTCAGATTTTGAAATGTCTTTGATTAAAGCCGTTAAACAAAAAGTTAGTGTTTTCTAAATTTATGAATTATTTTCATTTTCTGTTTCACTAGTTTCCAATGGCAATGCACCATGGTTCCTTTTTTCACTATTGTCAATCACTTTACAAACAAGTTCAATTACTCGGTCTAGCAACAGCATATCTTGAAGATGATTCACTTTCAGAAATGGCAGATTTCTTTAAGCATTCTAAATATCAATGGTTAACACGAGTGCCTACAAAATACTGGAATGTGTCAACCCTCGAGTTTCGTACTAACAACTTCCCCGAGGGTGAGCTTTTGTCTTTTCTTGAAAAGTGTGCATCTGTCTTTTGTCACATAGGTTGGCACAACAAGTTCAACAGCCGTATCGACAAAACTCATCCTAACGTTTGGCGGCTGTTTGAATGTTTACAACGTGAGAAATTACTCTGTTGGAATTTATTCATGGTTTATCAATGATCGTAGCTCAAAATTCTGCAACTTTTCTTTGATTTTCTCGTTTAAATACTTCATTTCTCAATCGGTACTTTTTTATATCATTTGATGCTCATGTATTACATTTCTTTTAAATTAAAAAAAACGATTATTTTTCATTTAATTAAACTGAAGATTTCGCCATTTTGTACTTTTCTATTTTACCCTTCACAATTCGCACAAAAAATATTTTCGCTGTCTTTTTTTTCGCTGACTCAATACCATACCAACCAACGATGTCTATTAAGCCTGAGTGGACTTCGAAGTGACTTTAGTATAATATACATTTTTCTTTCATAAATTCCTTGTTCTATCAATTGAAAGTTCATTCTAAATTGAAATATTATCATTTTAGGCAAATCATTTCTGATGGTTTCTTACCCTTTTTGACCGTACATATGATGAAATGATGCGTCTTCTATATCCACTTTCAACTTGTGTAAGTTAGACGTCCGCAGTAAGAGATTCATAACAGTTGAGTAATTACATCCGAACAATATCAATTCGGCTAATGATAGCTATCTTTACTGAATAGGAAAGGAAAGCCTTTGAAACTTACTTCAACACAGTCAAAGTTCAACCTGTCAATGTAGCTCGAAGTATTGATAGAACATTGATTGCTGATATGAAGAAAATCAAAATTTTGCCAGGAAGATGATTTGAAAATTTAAATAAACCCTTTGAGAACATCAAAATCATCATGTGAAGTGAGACATTTTCATCACGAGAAGCTTAACACACCAAAATACAAAACCAAAAAAAGTTGACATTTTAAATCGAATTCTCAAGTGTATGACAATCTAAAAAAACATCGGATAAAAGTATTCACTGTCATTTAAATCCAAGAGTTCTTTTTATCAAACTAGTGTTTGAATGTAAGATTTCATGTATTTATAAACATAAGATAATTGATGGTTCATTTATTCAAGATAATTAATATAACTCTGAACTCTGCAGAACAATACTGGAAGATCCACCCGTAACTAACACTTTTCCATTCGTTAATACAGATGCTGTGTGTGTTTGTCGTTCATTATTCATAGTACCTATGGCTGTCCAAGTTCCTGTTAATGGATCATACAGCTCAGCACTATTTAGATAAGACATCCCATCCCATCCACCCGTAACTAACACTTTTCCATTCGTTAATACAGATGCTGTGTGTGTGTACCGTATATTATTCATATTACCAGTGATTGTCCAAATTCCTGTTGATATATCATACAACTCAGCACTATTTTGGATACCAGCATTACCCCATCCACCAGTAACTAACACGTTTCCATTCGTTAAAACAGATGCAGCGTAGAAAAATGCTGCATTATTCATACTACCAGTGAATGTCCAAGTTCCAGTTGATAGATCATACAACTCAGCACTATTTACAAGATTAAAACCATTATATCCACCAGTAACTAACACTTGTCCATTTGTTAATACGGATGCTTGGTAGTCAAATCGTCCATCATTCATGCTACCCGTTGTTGTCCAAGTTCCTGTTGATGGATCGTACAGCTCAGTACTAGTTAGAGAAGAAACACCGTTTTCTCCACCAGTAACTAACACTTTTCCATTTGCTAATACGGATGCTGTGTGCGTGTCCCGTGCATCATTCAGACTACTAGTGGTTGTCCAAGTTCCTGTTGTTGGATCATACAACTCAGCACTACTTAGAATAGAACTACCAGTTCCACCAGTAACTAATACTTTTCCATTTGTTAATACGGATGCTGTGTGTGCTTTACGTGCATCATTCATACTGCCAGTCGTTGTCCAAATTCCTGTTGATAGATCATACAACTCTGCACTATTAAGAGAAGAAAAACCATTGGTTCCACCAGTAACTAAAACTTTTCCGTTTGCTAATACAGATGCTGTGTGACCAGAGCGTGCAGTAATCATGCTGCCAGTGTTAAGCCATCCTAAAAGAATCATTTGAATTTATTTAGGCTGAAAAGTGGAACGTCATCGAACACACAAGGTCGTACATGTCTAGTTGAGACATTTTAAAATGTTGTGAAATGAAAATTGCGTTTTAATTTAAGTGGAAAAACACTTAGCACTCTATAGCATAAAAGATGATTTCAACCTTATTGCATGGAATTTTTTATCTTGTGATAGGGAGTATTGTAATAGTTGTCCATTGTCGTTAATAGACTTTTTATATAGAAGGTTGAAAAAGGTTTTCATTTTAAATCATTCATTCTATGATGCATATTAAATAACATCTTGTTCGATTGTGTACGAAGTTAGACCGCTATAATCGACGAATAGAAATTGTATTAAAGAATAGAAAGTTTTCCACGATTCGTTCATGGTTCCCTTATTTTCAAATTCAAAACGAAACATTGCTAAACGTATAAGTCAGACTCACATCAAAAACAGCAGATACGTCGGCAAAAATAAATATCATGATTGCAAAAAGTATTTTAGGCAATATATTATTTGAGCTATTACAAATCATGGAACCGTGGAAGAATTTATAGCTTATATTCGATTCCCGAACAAATTATCATAGCACCTGTAATAGTTGTGAAACAATTAAAGATATTCTACTTCTGAGTTCTTGAATACTGTTAAATGTGCTAATATCTCTTTCAACGAAACACATTTAATCATATCGACCTGCACTATTAAAAAGAATCTGTTTTCTCGGAATCCTATAGAAGGTTCCCAGGTTTGTCACTTTATGAAACCCTCTATATGTTCACAGGAAACGGTTTCCAAGCTCTCAGAAAACTCTCGAAAACCATCAAAAGTGGTTGAATAAGCTTAAAGTTTCTGAAAGTCAGTAACGTTTCTGAGATTTTCAAAAACCACTTATAGTCTATCTAAGAAGTGTTTGAATACTTAAGACCATTTCCATCCATCCTGAACAGCAATTTCGTTCAGGCACATGCAAATCGCACGAAAGTTTTGCGAGACTGGTTGAGAATGTAGTGAAATGGTTGTATTTAAGGAAAAACTTTCGTTCGATTTGCCTGTGCATGGACCAAAATTGCTGTTCAGGAACGATTGGAAGGGTCTTAAGTGTTCGAATACTTTTTGAACTAATTGTATAGGTTTTTCGCTAATCCTCAACAATACAGTTAGAGGAGTATTCGATTTGAAGCAATCCGTTACTCATCTCACTTGGAGTCAGCTATAGTTTCTGGGTCGTCAAGTCTTCCAGTCTCTTGAAGGAACAGTATTGAATTTCAATCATAGTCTTTAGGTCCTGATGTCCTCTGTTAACGTGGGATTTCTATCGAACTGATTGATTATAAGACTTTGCTTTATTTTTCCAAACGGTTATTATATATAGATGAACGAAGTAAGAGACAACCTAAGGGCACTTGAACGAAATATGAAGGTATGGAAAATACCTATACTACCTCAAGAGAAGAGAAGAAAAAGAAAAAAGACAACATATGTATATCGTATGTATCATCTATGTATGAAAGCATAACAGAAGAAAGAGAAAAACGAAAAAGGAAAATACCATATATAAGTGAATCACACTATAACATCCGAAAGTTGCTTAATTTCGGGGTTTTGCAATTATTCATACTTTTCAAGATCTGAAGTTCTCAAGTATTTTAAATGGAAAGTCATTAACTATGTCAAAATCTTCGAGCCTCTTATAAAGAGTGTTGAAGTCATTTGGAGTCGTGATCTTATAAAGTTTCCCTATTTGTTAAAATTATCGTTTTTATCGGTATAATTTCTGATATCAGAAAGTTCTTTATGTTAAAATTATGCAGAAAGTTCTAATCTTCGAGTCATCATGTCTCCGTACTTGTTTTGATTGGGAAACTTTTCAGTGTTTTAAAGTCAGACTTTTCGAAATAGTAATACGCTTAATTCTACAAATCTTTTGAAGTTGAAGTGTTGAAGTTAGAGGAATATTTATAGTTTCTTCGATATACTTAAAGTTTATGCGTCTTGAAGTCTAAAGAATCTAGATTGTTCTTTCTGACTTGAAGCGCAGCGATTTATGCTTTAGTTACCTTTCTACGTAGTTTAGTTTCTGTCCTGTTGTATGTTTGCCAATATTTCATATTAATTAGTACATTGAGGAATTACATCTCGAAGTGTGAAGAAGTTAATGTTAAGTGTTAAGAAAAATTATCTAAAACATTTTGTTTCATTTTGAAGTTTAAAATCAGATCATTCGCCACCAAAATTGAAGTTTAAAAGAACTTTAAATGAAAAAATTAAGCTGTTTTCTGCATTGGTAAAAACAAGAAGATCTTCAGTAGATGAGGACACATGTCGAGTGAGAAAGACTAAAAATGTTGTAAGTAGAATAACTATGCATCGTGTAAAATCTATATATCAGATAGGTCCTTTTCTTCATTCTTATTTGAAAGTGAAGGTGTGGATGTGGGTGTATGAATAGAAAAACTGAAAAGACCCCCACACTCACACCCGTTATAATGGATAGATGTCAGTATATTTCTCAAACTAACTTAAGTCGATAGAGTATTTTCTTTTGAATGTTTCACATACTTTCCCAAACTCGGCATCGATCATTAACATCATCGATTGCAGAAGAAGACCTCCTGTTTCTTGACTTAAAATTTTTAGTTTATTCATTTTTGATTTTTTGTGACCATTTTTAGACCCAAAATTTGTGGTGAAACGTTAAAAAATTCAAAAAGAAATCAAATTTACATAATGAAAGTTGTACATTGTTTCTTATTTTTCTCAAGACAATTTTTTCGTAAAAAAAATTACAGAAATGTTCTCGTTTCTCTAGCGTAGCACATTCGAGCGAGCTGAAACTTTTTTACACTTATACTAGACACTGTTTTGGATGGGCGTTTCTTTTTTGTTTCAAAAAACATTGTTCTGTTGACTTTTTCGTAGCTCTTGCAAAAAAAAGCTCTATTAAAAAGACATGCATTTTTTACGGTACTTTGTATACTTTGCTTTTTTTTGTTGAAAGAACAAAAAGTAAACAGAAAGCGAAAAAAAAACAGCCACTCCAAATAGTGTATAGTATTGTAGAAAAGATTTAAACTCAAACAAAGATAGCATCTTGAAGAAACGGAGGCGAAAACTGATGCCATTTTTCGCCATTGTAGTCTCAGTATCTAATCGAAGACAGCGTCGAGTAATTTTGAATCTATGACAAAACCCTGGAAAATGGGAGGGGATGAAGGGAATAACCTTTAAATTACTTTCAATGGTAGAGTAACTGATCATTATTTGAAGATAGTGTCAGTACAATAAAAGCGTTAAAACACATATCGAAGATGAGGTTGAACAAAAGAAATTTCGATTTAAATAATATTTTTTAATCAAAGATATTTAAATGAACGAAATATTTGATTTAACACTACTACATGATATTTCTTAATCTGAGCTGATCTATACGAAAATCTTGTCAATCTAGATCTGATCATTACTATTATGTTGTCTTTAAAATAATTCTGAGTATTATCAAATCACTACGGATATCATGAAGATGAAGTCGACCAAATGATTCACTTAAATTGCTTTTGGGATGAAGAAACTATTATCATTGATATAGTTTAACGTATGTCAAATTATTATTGCTGAAATATATATATAGAGAGAGAGATTGTACCTAATTAAATCATCTCATATCAGAAATATGAATCCATCTAATGTAAATAATACATTTGTCTATGTTATGACATTGTTTTCATTTGGAATTTAGAATAACAAACATGTTTCTAGATTGAACAGTCAATAAATCTTGAAAATCAATTTTCCAAATTTTGCTGAGTTACTCATTTTACTTTCGTTGAGGACTGTATTAATTATCCTTTCTTTGAAAAAAAAAAGAAAACAAGACTTTAAAATGTTGCAGAATCAATCACATTCGTACTAATCAATTTACACTTATTACGCTAGTCTGTTATTTTCTAATTATGTATGAAAACTTCTATTTGTTTCAATTTTTGATCTCATTTCATTTCCATTCTTATCATTAACTTCATCTCTCTGATCTTCGATTCTTTATCTTTCACTTTATTGTGACTGTATGATAAAACTCATTCAATTGTAAATTTTTAAAATGGAATGAATTCTCAATGTAGAATTCAGATAAAACACTTTGATTAATTTTTCTACACTCACGAACTTGATTAAAGTGTGTTTTTACCTGATCTACAGATATTTATCAATACCAATGGTAAACATACTGTTTGTGGTGAGCAACACGAGTTAATCACGCATACGGAAGTATTTGATGTACAAGCATATGTAATATTATCACATGGCTCCAAAATAGAACAAAGAGCACCAGGTGCACAATAACTAATATTATTGAATGTACGGTAATCGAAGCAAGGTGTTGATGACAAACGACAACTGTCGTTGTTAATCGAGTTGAAATGACATTGTTCTAACAAACAATTGAATATTGGCTGTCGTGCAGAGTGAGGGGATGAAGATGATGTAAATCGAACAGTATCATTATTTTCAATACAATAGTAATTAGATGTGGGTGTAGTTTGGCCTAATTATAATTCATACTATGTAAGAATCAGATGAGAAGAAATATATTAACAAACTTTTCACAGGAGAGAAGAAAACACTGAAAAGCAAAGCTATTATCAATCGCATGGATTTCGTGTAACAAATGAGCGAAAGACGTGTTCGAAATTGAATTCCTTGTTTTTTTGATCTGTAACTAAGTATTGACTTAACTTGCTTTTTAAGTGAAAGAAAAATTTTTTTTTTCTTTCGATGTTTATTCATTCCTCTGAAATAAAATAAATCAGACATTGAAATAACATTAACAAAATATTCCAATGAAGTGAACTCACTATCAAAAAGACTGAGTTTTGTTGTAATTTTTTTCATATTTTCATCATATGAATTGTATGTATTTTTTCTTTCTTCGATAAACGAAATTCATGAAATTGCGCCCATCAAAATGTACCCAGTTGTGAATATAAAGGAACTGATTTGTTGACAATAGCAAACGACAAAACTTATTTAAAATAGAATTTTTTTTACTTTTTAATTGCTTTTCTTTACAATTTGTTCAGGTTTCAAGAGACCTACGGCTATGTCGAAACCCTTGCTATTATACAAGTTCAATAAAACAAATATGAAAATAATAGATTATTTTCAATGTATTTTTTTCATTTTTATTAAATTGTATGCATTTTTTTAACGAGATTCTTGTTAAATTAAAATTATTTATTTATTGAATGGTTATTGTTATGTACATGTGTTATTGAAATGAAGTTTTCGTCAAAATCTTCCATTGTACTTGTTAATTGAATTGTACTCCCACCCTATCTCTATAACTCAAGTGTAAAAAATATTTTCGACCGATACTAATCAATTGTGCTAGCTTCATATCGATTATATAAATGAATACTTCATTGAAAATATTTAAGTAATACTTTTTCTTTTAGATCGATGTTTTTTGTTTTTATTTTATGTTAAATTAGATCGAAATCTAAGTCTTTTTTTATGACATGATTGTGAAATTATTCTATAGTTGTATACTTGTGTATAGTATCATGAATTAAATATATATGTTTAAATTTGAGATAACTATTTGAATAAAATGTAAATCTAGAGTCCTCATTCTTTTAATATTAAAAAATAAACGATCAAAATTATTTGTATATGTTCTTTTAATGCGTTAATGTTTTGATAAATTGATTAGATCATTTTATTCATTAGCTTTTACAATCTCCTGTTGATTCTTTATAAGTTTTCTTTGTTCTTTGAGACTTATTGAAATTCTAACGTTTCTCTTGTCTTCTTTTCATATTGATCAACGGAATTAACAAGAGGTCAACTTAATTACGATCTCATATGATGCATCAAAAATGTAACGTTTCTCTTCCCAAAAAAGAAGAAGGATTAATAAAGTTTAATATATTCAAAATAAAGTAGATTATTCAATAAATTTTCTCATAGGTTTAATTTTAAAAATTTACAATAATTAATAATGTATCAATATTGTTGTCTGTGGAAAATATCAATAGTATTTGATCTAAGAATATTATGAATAAAATTCGATTAATGACTAAAACAATGATTTAATAACATTTTCTTGGCTATTTTAGAGACATTGATAAAGAACTCTGAATTTGATCATTGTTCATTGAGAAAGGTGCTTTATTCTAGAAAATTATCAATGAACATATAATGATCATTTATGATGATAGTATACTTTATCATCCACTACAGTTTTTGAATACATTTATCATTTTACAGATTAAGAATAAAACAAGTGATCATAATTCTAAATGTTAATCATAAAACTATGTGAATTGTCAGAGGTTTCCTTGCTCACGATTGTCACATTACAGTTCGACGAATAGAAGTTAAAATTAGGGTTTTAATTAGGGATGGGAAGTTGCCGTTACCCGGGAACGTAACTGTCTGGTAACGGTAACTTCCCACCCCTTGTTTTAATTGAATTCTATATAACATTTAATATCATCAATCATATATGACCAAAAAACTGTTTAAAATAGGTATGAAATCGCAGTAGATCAAACCTGATCTATAATATTTGAATCTTATTTACGACTCTCATTGATATTTGTTTTCGTCTATTTGGTCGATACAATGAAGAAGAATCTTATATATATATTGGTATATTTGTGTGCTAGTTCCATTTCTTTATTAAAAAAACACATTATATTCACTCTTCTGATTTTTTTCACTTAAATTATTCTAAAACAAACCGAACAAGTGCACATCGATGAAGCAAAAAACAAAATTTCGTTTCTTTTTCACAACTCCGAAGACATGGAATGAAATGAATCCATATTTCTATTAGATTCATAAGAAATTATCTGAATATGTCTCAGATATTATGTTCATATGATGAACAAATAATTCTGATTTATTTAATCAAATGAACTCTATAAAAGTAATAAATAAATAAAAAAAGAAAAATATAATTTTTGTACTTGATAGTTCATATTTTCATGGTGTTCATCAAAGTCGAAACATTTACTTAGTTCAACATTTCTCTTTTCAATCGAGTCGGTTAGTTCCTTAAAAGTGTAAGTGTAAGGAATGATGTTTTCCTTATTTTGAGATCTTCAATATTTCAACCAGTGAGCAATGCCGTTTCTAGCAATTTTTACATTTCATCATTATGTATCACTTGATTAATCTGACTCTTTTTACTGTTATTAATCCTTTTTATGAATATTTTGTCGAGATGTAAAACTTAGATTTGATTATATAACATCAGAATCAATTGATGGATTCAATTCCAATCAATTTGTGTGACATAATATCCTCTGAAATATATCTTCACTGATAAACTCTATTATTTTAGATTGGTTGCGAAATGGATTGATAATTGCCAATGAACATATTGTAGCTCTAATTTAACACATCATCAACATGAATATTTCTATCTATAAAATGAATTCCTACATTACTTAATGTAGTTGTTGAATCAAGAATTTCGTCTATTAAACAAAGTCGTAAATAATCAAACAATGAATTTATTAGAAGTGCATCAGCATCGATACCGTTGCTTACATCAAAACAGGTGTCTGTGTACAATGAAGTGTATTTTATTTTGAAAAAGTCTAATACATTTTGTTCAATATGGATGTCCAATATTTCCCGAAGACATTTCCACTTATTAGCTCAATTCTTAACCCAGTTATCATTTATTCGATGGAAATAATACATTGAACTCCACAACTTCCAGTTTGAATAACCCTGGCTAAAATATAATATTGACTCATCTGAAACTCAAGTAAAATAAAGAAGAATAACTAAGAAAGTCTGTTTTTAGCTGATGCTCTCATTTATCACAACTACTCTTTGAAAAAGCTATATTTTAGCGATAATACAACGATAGATGGACTGAATAAGACGTCACTTAATTTAATGGAACACTTTCAGAAAACTAAAAGCATCATATGCACCGACAGTCTTTCATCATAATAAATTTAACACATCAAAACATAAAATTAAAAATATTCTGATATTTTAAATCAAATTCTCAAGTATATCGCATTCTAACAAAAAAATTGAAGGAAATCCTTCACTGTCATTTAAATTCGAGTTTTCTTTATGAAATTAGTGCTTGGATGCTACATCGTGTATACTTATAAATATAAAATTATTGATTTTTCATTGGTTTGAGATGATTAATATAACTTTGAAGTATTTAGAGTAAAATTATCAAGTCCACCAGAAACAAACACATTTCCATTTTGTAATACAGATGCTGAATGACTTCCTCGTGCATTATTCACACTGCTAGTCGTTTTCCAAGTACCTGTTGATGGATCGTACAACTCAGTGCTATTTATAGCAGAATCAGCATTATATCCACCAGTAATTAAGACTTGTCCATTTGTTAATACAGATGCTGTGTGCGAAAATCGTGCACAATTCATATTACCAGTCGTTGTCCAAGTGCCTGTTAATGGATCATACAATTCAACACTATTGAGAGGAGTACTACCATTGTATCCACCAGTAACTAACACTTTTCCATTTGTCAATACGGATGCTGTATGCCGTTTTCGTGCATAATGCATACCATTAATCATTGTCCAATTTCCTACTGGTGGATCGTACAATATAGCACCATAGAAATAAAAATAATCACTAAGTAATCCACCAGTAGCTAACACTTTCCCATTTGTTAATATGGATGCTGTGTGACTTCCTCGTACATAATTCATACTGCTAGTCGTTGTCCAAGTTTCCGTTGATGGATCATACAATTCAGTAGTACTTAGATCAAAGTCAACAGTATATTCTCCACCGGTGACTAACACTTTTCCATTTGGTAATACGGATGCTGTGTGCCACTGTCGTGCAGTATTCATACTACCAGTGTTACGCTATCGTAGGTGAACCATTTGAATATACTTATGCTGAATAGTGAAGTATTATCGAATACGTAAGATTTGCTGTGTCTAAGTAACGTGTTTTAAAGTATTGTGAGATGAAAATTTCTTCTTACTTTAACTGAAAAAACTTTTAACATTCTATAGAGCGAAACAAAATGTTAATTTTGATGCGCGAAATCCCTGATCTTGTGGTAGGAAGAAGTGTGATAGCTTTCCATTTTTGTCAATACAGTTTTTCTCTAGATGGTTAATAAAGGTTCTCACATTGAATTAGTCATTCTATCATCTATAGTGATTAGCCTATTTTTTGATTGTGCACATCCTCAGGCAACTAGAATCGAATAATATGGAGTATATCGACAAATAGAAATTTCTTCTAGATTTCTTCATACTTCTCTGATTTCCAAGTTGCAAATAGCACATTATTCACAACATATGTTGCACTCACATCAAGATCAGTGAAATTCTCTGAAAAAATGAATTCATGGTTGCAAATGTATTTTAAAAAATGCATTACTCGACCTATTAGAGATAATGGAACTGTGGGAGAATTTATAATTTTTTTTCTTTCGGTTTCCCAGCAAACTGCCATACTGCTTGTAATAGTTCTTCAACAATTGAGAAATTTCTAAGTCTGAGTCCTTGAATACGATTAACTACCATATTTCTTCTAAACGAAGCGCACTTGGTCATATCGAAAACAAGTCGATTTCATTGGAATCGACAAAAAGTTGCAGGAAAATCATCGTATTCGGTATGAAAACATTGAAAATCAATGGAACTTGTTGGTGGTGTACCGGGTGAGAAAGTTTTCGGATTTGTCCATAATTTTCGGTCATTTCGCGCCTAAAAGAATAACAAGTTACCCCGAAGTTATCATAAGAATCTCGAAGCTTTCCATCCAGGAATACTGCCTCTACACTCCATCGATTGCTGATGTCTACATTGATTCAAGTATCAACTTAGTAACTAGGAATCTTTTTTCAGCAGGGTTCAGACTTTAGTATTTTACAATGAAGCCAAGTGACTTAAAAATAAACATTTTGTATAAAAACTAACAAGAATCTTTATTATGAAGTTTCATCTCTTTTTTTTTGAAAACCACAGTTTGGATCAGGATGAAAGCAAAACCAGTTGGAAACAACTAGATATTCATCGACAGCATCGAATTCTGTATTAAATGATGCATTTGTCACTAGAACTCAACGAAAAAAAGTTTTCAACTTCTTCGACCAAAGAAGTTTACCACAAAAAAGGGTGTGGGTGTGGTGTGGGTGTGGGTGTGACGTGTGGGTGTGGGAGTGTGTGTGCGTGTGTGCGTGGTTGAAAAGAAGACCCATCTACACCCACACCCCACGCCCACACTTCACACCCACACCCACACCCACACACCCACATCCCACACTCTGCTATTCCACAAACTGCTCAACGTAAGAAAGACGTTTTCATATTGTTAAAATCATCTTAGTTTTGATGATTAATCGACAATTTTACCACAAACTTCAACAATAACTATTTACTGATAAACATGATTTTTTTTGCTTCTATCTAGATACAACCTCCATATTAAAATGAAAATTAAAAAATTATTATTTCATGTTTATATATATATAGCTTTGCTTTCTTTTATCTAGATCGATTTCAACATTGAGATAAAGAGCAAGTATTTGTTTATATGAGTATTTTTCTTGTAGATTTATACACAACAATAAAATACAAAGTAAGTATTAATTTATATAAATAATTTTTTTTTTTATCTACAGGGTGTCCCAAAAGTCCGGACGGAAAGTAAATTCGTATAATTCCACTATTTATCAAACTTAATTAACTAATTTTTTTCCAGATGATAGGTATCAGTGTGAAGTTTTTATTTGCACGGGCACACTTCATAAATACTGTTTAAAGTTATAACTTTCGATTGAAACACAAAAACCATTCATTTTTTGATTTAAGAAACACACTTCTCAGTGTTTCTCTTTCAATCTTTCAATTTTTCACCTTTTCT